TTTTTTTCAAATAGTTAAATTATTTTTAAAAAAATAGTTCAAACTGATTTTGCTGTGGTACCGAAATTGGTACCGAGAACCGTAACATTTTAACGGTATCGGTACCGACTACTGGAATTTTGGTACCGTGACATCCCTAGTTGTGCGTAAAAATCCCTGTAACTGAGCAGATTGTGAAATACTCAGACCGGCCCGTCTGGCACCAACAACCATGCCACGCTCAAAATCACCTTTCTTTCCCATTCTGACATTCAGTTTGGAGTTCAGGAGATTGTCTTGACCAGGACCACACCCCTAAATGCATTGAAGCAACTGCCATGTGATTGGTTAATTAGATAATTGCATTAATGAGAAATTGAACAGGTGTTCCTAATAATCCTTTAGGTGAGTGTATATACACAGTATATAGGAGGTTTAGTCTCAATAACGGATTGAAATGTGCACCGTCACAAAGAATAACACACAAAGAAAGTGGAATGTGCCTAGTAAGTTCATTTCGTGACCAAATTTGATTATTCCTCTGACTATCAGTCCATTACTTGTGATTAACGAAGGTGTGGGCACAGTGTGACAGAAAAACACACACACACACACACACCTCCCCTACCATTAACCTGCCTTATGCAAGCCTGCGTCAATTAAAGACCACATCAGGACTTGGATGCTAATGGCATTTGTTCACAATGGCCACGGTTGTACAAACATAATCACTGCTTGCCTACGCGTAAATGTGCTCATGTACACGCAGGGGCAGGAATGAGATCAGCGTGCCCTGCTGAATCACAGCCATTGTTTCCCCCAAAGTATTTATTCATCTCCTTTTAGATGGTCAGCATGTTTTACAGAGAGAATGATGTGGCAAGAACAAGAAAATTGGCATACATTAAAAGAGCATCAATGGACATTAATCATGAACAACAGGAATTAAGATAGATGAAAACGCACATATTAACAGTATGTTTCTATATCCTTCAAGTAATTTAATGGGAATATTGGGAATACTATTGAGTGACAACCAAATCAGTAAATTGTGTTTTTCAATATACTGATTCAAAGACTTCTGAAGTAGGAAATTATTTATGAATTATATTTTATTAATTATTTTTACATCTATTGTATCTGTGACTAGAGCATGTTTTACAAATGTACAGAAGTGTCATAGCCGTAGACTAGTAGTCGCCAACCAAAACAGCAAAAACAATGAGCTTAAGTCTTGTTTGACTAAAATTAAACTATTAAAAATAGTTTTTGTTAATTGAAATAAAGCTGCAGTAAAATAAATCTGAAATATTAAAGGTAAACTTAAACAATTCGACTAACTGAAATAAAATAAGTTGAATTTGAGTACTAAAATTACTAAAACAAACTAAAATACAAACACACTAAATAGCAAAATAGAAATATTAAATAACATTGATGATAATAATAATAATAATAATGACTAAACCACATAACAAAATTACAAAGACTAAAATGTAACTTAAAATCTAAAAATGAAAGCTCATTTTCAAAAAAATTATAAATACTATGTATTATATAAATACTAAAATAACACTAACAGTTTATAATCATTAACAATAGATAGTTAAAGATTATTTAAAGTATCAAATTATAAAAGGGTAAAAAAAATTAAAATAAATTAATGTTAAATTAGATGCGTTATAATTTGTTCCAATTTTTCCCACTTTCAATTAAATAGACCTTGGGCCTTTGAAAGTGTCTTCCGATCCCAAAACATTTAAAAGGGTTTAAAGTTAAAATGCTACTTAAGGAAGTCTGTTATTTGTGCAGGTTGTATTCCCACCTAGGGGGAAAAAAACAACTGTAACCAAATGCTGGAGTGTCAGTCACTCATCAACAGCTGAAACTATCATTTACGCCACAGGAGGCCTGAGGGGAGAGAAGGAAAAGTGCTCTCTGTCCTGACAGGAGGAAGAAGGGAGAGGAGGAGTAGAGGAAATGCTTACAGGGTATCAACACGCTTGGCCATTTGGCTGTCACGCATTAAGTGGGTAAAGGTAATTCATCAAGGCTCTTCCTCCCTTCATTATAGTCACAATAAAGTCTCTTAGGGAAGTGTTCAAACGAATGGCTAGAAACTAAAATATGTTATCAAAATAGTCAGACATGGGGATAAAAACGTATATTCCCAGCGAACCCCGAATTAGTGCATCTAGGGTGTTAGATCTGCACCAACTTAAAATGATTGACTACAGGGGAACTTTAAAACTCTTATATCTCTTAAAACTCATCTTTGATCACCAAAATGACATATTTAAAAACAATCTCCTTGAAAAAAAAATTTCACGCCTTAAAATAGCTTGAATGTAACTCGACACCCTTGCCTCAGTTAGTATACACGGTTCTATGAATATGCAAATTAGCCCCGCCTCCACTCACACCAGCCAGTCGTACGATAATTGTCGTATTTGTACGATAATTTTGACCTCTGTACGATAAACAATGAAAAAAATCCCATAATGTACGATCATTTCAGAATTTTTGTGACAAATGACGGTGGTTGTAATCATAGGGCTTCTGTACTCATTTATCTAGCTGTGTATCCTACGTCTACCGTCATGACCGTGAGGAGAATGTGTCCGTGGTGTTACGCATGTCTTCCATCTCACCTCACGTTACGCCTTCTCGGCCAATCATCGTGGAGAATGCCTCTCTCTCTCTCACACGAGCACAAGCTAACGTTCCTGCCGCTGCGCTTAGGTCGGTCGTTTCCAAGCTGAGGTTGATAGTTTAGCAATAAAGTAATTTGCAGGTCGTGTCAAAAGTTGTTGGTCTAGATAAATAGCTGTATTCTGTACGATAATTTTCTTCCAAATACGATAATTTTGAGATTCTGGTACGATAATTGGACATTTCCAATCTGGCAACACTGACTGACACTGTCTTTGGCCCCATTTACACTGCATGGTTCAAGTGACCCAAATCCGATTTTTTCCTCTCATGTGGCACAGACCGGATATGACCCATGAACGTGTAAGCAGGAAAAAAACGCATGGATTCCGATTTTCTCAGATCAGATTCAGGCCTCACTCATATGTGGTTATAAATCGGATACGTGCATTTGCGTGTGCCATGTAAGCAGACAAATCGGATATTCCCCAGTAAATGCGAGTCGTACGTCATTAAAAAAGTGGACACCACCAACTGAGACTTATTATAGGTGCGATGGAGGACGAAGGATACACACAGTGGAGCAATGCGGAGGTTTCGTGTCTTTTGAGTGTTTGGGGCGAAGAGACAGTAGTGCAGGCAAAAATGCAGGGTTGTTACAGAAATAAATCCCGTGTTTGAAGACATTTCACGAGATATGGGGAGGCACGGTTTTAAGTGCTCGTGGCTACAGTGCCACCGTAAGATAAAAAGCTTAATGACTTTTAAAAATATTGTGGAAAGCAAAACACTGGATAATTTTATTCGCATCTGCATCCATTGTCTTTCGTGCTGTTTTACTTCCTTTTCCGGGTCAGAACGTCTACATTTGGTAGTTTCAGCAGTGTATAGTGTAAATGCAAAAATCGGATACGGGTCACTTTTAAAAGATGATGTAAGTGGGATATAGTCAGAAAATCGGATTTGGGCATAAAGACCTGCAGTGTAAATGGAGCTTTTGGTTCACTGCAGTTTTAAGGAGAAAATACTCAGCAATGCTGTCGACTTATGAACGTGCACATGGTTTGTCTTAAAGCATATTAAAAAAACACCACATAGACGTATATAAACAACATTAAAAGCTGGATTTTCACCTTCATTTTCGTGCAATGCTCAGCACTATGAAGCACTACAGTACCCACAGGGCTACGCTTCACAGCTCTGCTTCGTGTTCCCAGAAACATGATCTCCACTGTGGAACAGCTCCACAGGGCGGAGTACTTTCTGTGTCTTCTTTTAAAAGCAGTAATTTATAGCGTCTCAGGTAGTCAACTCTTCCCTTTACAACAAACACCTTTTCATTACAAAAGGAGGATGATGAGACAACGGAGAGGGAGAGAGAGAGATAGAGGGGGAAGAGGTATTTCTGAGTAGCCGGAGGATACAGACGGCAGCTATTTCACACCTCCAGCTCTGGGGTCAATTCAAACCTACCATGTTTATTTAAAGCCTTCACAGTCGGCCAGAGCAGAAGTGACCGCTCATTTTATAATGTAATGCAAGGCATTCAGAAGTCTCCCGGGAGCACTGTATTTCCGAGATCCAAAAGACGAGGATGGCGGTAGGGAAGCACGTTTGGGCCTGTGAGAGCCACAGGCACTCGCTCCGCTGGAATGATGCCAAAGGACACATTTTTCAGGGTTTTATTTCAGCTGCTGTTTTTTTTTTCAACCCGTTTGCCTTTTTCACTCTCCGTCTATGACTTGAGCGCTCGAAAGTCCTTAGGGTTTTAAATGGCTATTTTGGATATGAGGTGGAAATGGAGAACAAATGGTATCCAAGTGTAAACTTCCACAGCTTTCCCCCACGGCATACGACTGACATACAGCAAATTGCAGACATGAATATGGTGCATATAGTGATACGGCATAGCTATACAATCATATTGTACAATATTGACAGATATCTAGCTCATTTTAATGAGGACAAATTGTGGAAAACAGTATTTTACTTGCTCTTCAGAATAATAACAACAACAACATGATATTCGATGTACTATGTAGGCGTAGTTTCCTGAATATACGCTTAAAAATAGGCCATTGAGATATCATAATGATGTCCATTTATATGAACACATCTTAATGGTACTATTGCAAAAGAAGACAAAAACAGCCTGTTTAATTCAGGCTCAGACAGAGGGTGGAAAACAATCACACCTGTTTTTGTTGAAAGAAAGCTTAAGCAACATTAAAGTGAAAAAAAACCCTGCCATAAACGCGTAGGATATGGCCAATTTAAAAACTATTTCAGAGAGCTTAATTGCAAAGAGACATGGTTTATTGTTAACACGTCTTCGACTGAGGTACAAGAGGACTACTAAAAACACTTACTCTCTTCTTGGGTGGCTGGTCTGCAATGGGACTGAAGAGCCTGAGTTAGGAGTATTGAGATCAGCAGCAGCATGGTCTTCATCATCGTCATCATCATCATCATCATCAAGGATCCTCTACATCTGAACTCTGCATCCAGCCCAGCTCTCCATTAAAACAGCTAGGACATCCGCACTGTGTGTGAGGTGAAGAAAACCAGAAAGCGAAACAATTAAGCATATGTATCTATTAACAACATGAACCTTTCGTAATGTGGCATTTATGTTAGCTGATGATTAGGGCTGGGTATTGACACAAATTTCACAATTCGATTCGATTTCGATTCACAAGCTTGCAATTCGATTCGATTCCGATTCGATTCAATATTGATTATTTTGGATATCAGGTACAATACATGGCAAATTTTCTCAAGGAAAACAAATCTCTTAACTAATGCTGTAAGCTATGGGAGTCAGTTGTAGCCTACTAGGCTTCATTAGCCTACTATAATATTGAAGGTAAAAATGAACTGATTTGTAGCTACACAAACACTTAAATTACACTTTTATTCATTTTTATAATAATAAAGTTATGTAAAATATTTTTAAAAATGTGGCTGTCATAAAAACTTGCCAGATTTATTCAAACATACAATATATCGAAGAACATTAAAAATTATAATGAATATGTAATATGGTGCATATATAGCAAAATGCTCCTCTTTAGAGTTAATTTTTCTAGCTGACTAACGAGTTTATGGTCACATATGGTTTTTCTGAGGTAAATGTGAGGTTACATGACTTTTACAAGTTGTTTTACTGACGTCTTTCCACGGTTGAAACACTGATTGAGCGATTCCATGTGACATGATACGGATTTCGAGAAGTTGTACTCTATCTTTTAACACACTTTCAGACGTTCTTTCATGTTTATTTCGCGCTGTAACTGGTATTATTACGGCGGAAGAGGAGATCATGTGCGCTCCGCGCTGCTGCTTCTCTTGAGCTGAGCTGAGCCAGAGCGATCTCACGCCACAGCGCCAAAACGGTATTTATGTTTTTGAATTTCGTAAGAAAATGGACGTAATTTGAAATCTGAGACTTTATTTAGTATCAATAGTAACAAAGCACAAAGATTATTGCGATTTATTGGATGGGATGCGCGCTACAATGTTCCATTCATTCATCAAATGAAAACAGGATGACTAATCGATTCTTGAGATTTAAGAATCGATATCGGTTCGTAAAAATGAGAATCGATTAATATCGAGAAATAGATATTTTTTACCCAGCCCTACTGATGATATGTTTCTCCACACACACACCAGACCACTCTTATGCCAGCATTCATTTCAGAAGCAAAAAACATACTAAATGAATTAAACATACAATAACCTTCGCTTTAGAGTAACTTGAACTGAGGAATTGTACAAATTAACATCAGGGACACTCCCGACGAAATTAATCTTATGGCTTAATTCCAGTAAAACTCTATAATAAGAGTCACAGAACCCCTTACATGCTTGAGCAGCACAGATCAAAGTTTCTTATAAACAGCCTGATAAAACTCTCCATCCATTTTAGCTGTAACCATGAAGCAGACGAAAACATAACTTTGCTGAATAAGGTCAATACTGGAACAGCACGTCCTTTAAGAACCCAAGGATTTTAACCTCAGACTTTTCCACTACATCATTGTGTCTTTAATGAGTTTGCATCAACAAAATCACCTTGAACAGTAAGCTAACGTGGCACTCTTTGATTTTAGTTATATAATATGTATCGAAGACATTACAAATGTAGAAATTTGATTGCATAAACCTTACATATTTCGTAGCGCAGTTCTGCGGGAGATTACTCTTACAAACACACGCAGTAAAACGCACAGAAACACAAACACACTCTTCCAACCCTTCACAGATATCTGTCAACTCTGAGCTGGCTTAGACCCCAGCATGACCCCTTCACACCATTTGTCCTAATAGCTATCGGAACTCCTCGTTCAAACATCATTTACACATTTCAACACACACCCCACTACGAAGGCATTGGTCTGAAGAAAGCGGCGTTTCACAATTCATCTGGCAGTTGTTTTTCCTTCAGAATGTTTAGCTGAGGTAATCTGTGTCTTTGCTTGCATTTGGGATTTTGCTTCTAATTCATAAATGTAAATTATGGCCTAAGCTAAAGTTAATATGAACCCTAGACTTTCTAAATTAATTAAATGAAAACCCAACTTACCGTATGCGGCTATTCAACATTAACACAAGAAAAAACCTCAGGAAATATCCTGGCAAGTGATGTTGTGAATCGTGAAATGTCATTCTATGCCACTATGCATTACTTTACAGAGGGTTTACGACCTACTAGCTACGTTCTGCCTTAAAAACAAATGGTGCAACTGAATAAAGTAGAGTTAGTTACAAAGATAGTAGTTACTAAGCCTCTAGTGTGGGCTTAATATGTTCAAATTTAAGAACGAACTTACGAACGGCTGGAGCAATCCTCCCTTAAAGCGTCATGCCTATTCAAACTGGACACATGCCATTTATTTTTAAGCCAGTGCATTTCGAATTTAACTTCTATTATATTACGGAATAGACACCTTATAATTTATTTTCTAGGTTCTAGGACCCATGCAAAAACGTTAGTGCATAATGCACTTGAGTCGAATACTTTACAGAATAATGCGATGACATGTCCATCACCTTCACAGCTGCTCTAATAAGGACGTGAAATTTGGAAAAACACCAATAAATGAGATTTGATACACATAAAAATTTTCCCATTGAGTTTGGGTTGGTTTCATTTTTCAAGCCATGTCTGCAGCTGGAACAAACCAGACGAACAGATGATTGGAGAGATGGGCAAATGGTCAGAGCTGTGGGACTTGTGTCAAAAGACACTTACAACAACATACCAATAATCATCTCTAGGACAAAATCATACTTAAAAAAGCTCCCACACATCAGATCAGACTACATGGAGAAGCAAGAAAGCAAAGACCTACTATGTAAATCTGTTCTGTTTCAGTAATATACTGAAGTGTAACAATATATAGTGTGAACGAGACATGACAAAACCAGGCAGCTTTGTAACATGGTGTAAATAAGAGATTTAGGCATCATCTTATTGCAGTAAATTAGTATTATTTGGGGAAGACAGTTCTCAGCTCGTTTTGGATGTGTAGTAGAATATTGGCTGCACACAAAACTCAATATTGTATTACAATATCAAGGGAAATTTTATATATTTCTAATTCATTTAATCAAGTTCTCTACAGCTTTTCTCAAAATGGCAAAAGGTCAAACACAGTCCATGGGAAACTCCCATCAGGACAGGTGAGCTATAAGAGGAACCGGATACAATGAACGGCTACGATTTGCAATAAGTCATTTTTAAACCTTCAGATGTTAGCTAATCCTTAGTTGATCGCTCTTTAACACACATGCTAGTTCTTTTTCTCAGCCATGGAATAGTGCACATGCTCTTGATATATTACCGGAGATAACATGTTTGAATTTCTTATCCTCTGTCTACATGACATCCTCTCCAATATTGCATCCATTAAATGTGTAAAAAGAAAATCACAACTAAACGTACACCAACTACTAAATTTGAGTAAATCTGTGCTCATTTTATCTCTTTAGCATCTTGTTTTCTCAGTGTGGTCTTTTTACTGACGCAACAGGTCAAGTTTACATGGCCGGAAACAAATAATGTACCCTAAACTAGTTTAAACTGTTAAACACATTTAATTAATATGCTTTTGGGGAAAGAAAAATGGCATAGTTTAAAAAAATGACAAACCAGAAGGCTTAGTTCATGACTAAATTACTTGGCTGAGATCGCGCTGATGTAAATGTTTGAACATTTTTTTTAAACAAGTTCCTCTGTTTACGTGAACTATTTCTAAGTACAACAAACAGCAGAACAAACATTCAGCTGATTATATTTAAAGTCTTTTCCACAGTGTTCACTTTGAGAGGGTAAGACGCACAGACAGTAGAGAGAGAGAGAGAGAGAGAGAGAGAGAGAGAGAGAGAGAGAGAGAGAGAGAGAGAGAGAGAGAGAGAGAGAGAGAGAGAGAGAGAGAGAGAGAGAGAGAGAGAGAGAGAGAGAGAGAGAGAGAGAGAGAGAGAGAGAGAGAGAGAGAGAGAGAGAGAGAGAGAGAGAGAGAGAGAGAGAGAGAGAGAGAGAGAGAGCATGGAATAAAAAGAAATAGGCCAAGTCAAGTGGAAAGAGAAGTTAGTACCCTAATTAATGAACCCCGGCATGTTTTTCTCTCTCTGATCATTGGAGGGGAACATGGCGAGAGCGTATAGCAGGCCCAGCTCATTACTACTGGAGCGGAACATTCCAGAGAACAGCATTGGTTTGTGTCGGAGACGGGACGCCTGACCTCACTCATTCCAGTGCCGGTGGGAGCCAGAGCCATAGCCGGCCCACCAAACCAGACTGCCACTCCATAGGGAGGCTATTAGGGCCAGGCTGGTGAACTTCACCTGCAAAACTCTTTCCTAGCCACATTTCCATTACCCTTCATATTGCGCGAATTGGAAATACGCCCAATGGAAACGCGTCAATTTCGCAAAAACTCCCATGTATCGCAAAAACATTTAGACTCTCACATGAGGTGGTTTTTCAGGCAATTCAAAAAAGGACTATTTCGCAAAACTGCAATGGAAACAGTTTTTGCGCATTTACAGGTCACCTGACGTAGATGGCGCGTATGTTTGGACAGAAGACGAGACAGAGTTCTTTATTAAACTGATAAAAGACAAAAGTATTACTGGAATACTGGATTCTAAACAACAAAGAAATGCCACAATTTCTCAAGAGCTTGAAGCAGAAGGAGTGAGAAACACTCATATGTGCCGCTCACAGTATAAGGCCCCGTTTACACGAAGGGAAAACGCAGATATTTCCCTGCGGTTTGGCCTCTCATTTACACGAAAACCCCGTTTTTATCACAGAAAACGATTATTTCTAAAAAAAACTCCGGCCAAAGTGGAGATTTCTGAAAACGCCGGTTATGTGTTGTCGTGTCAACTGGGAGAAACGGGGTTTTAGGTTCTCTCTTGTCGATTCTGAGGATTCTGATTGGCTTCCATGGCTTTATCCTTCTCCCTACACTGCCGCCCATAGGTTTGGCATAGTTATGATGGCGCTCGACGGCGTATTTATGCGGGTGTGTGCACGATGTTATTATTGAAAACGGAGGCGGGGGAAATATTCGTTTAATACCCGGCTTTGTGTAAACGTGGCCTAAGAGTGTTTCCTTGCCATTAATGCTGTGATAACACGCCTACGTCTCCTTCAGTTAATAATAATGGCTAGTGCGGCGGCTGAGATATACGTAAACCTATCAACATCTATTGCCATGATTTTCGATCGCGAGAAGAAAAATGCCGTTTGAGTCACATAACATTGGTTCATGGAAACGCCATCATTTCGCAATAGTTTTTTATCGACATTTAGAAAATATCACAAAAGTTTTGTGCAAATCTGTAATGGAAACGCACCTACTGTTCCCTCTTTTCCAATATGTCTTCTCTTCCAAAGCTCTAATTCTCCTCTAAACTCACAGTCTCCTTTCCGGACTGTTCTTGAAAAAATTTGATCCCGGATGAGCCCCCAACGAAACTGAATCTGGTGTTGAAAAGGACATCGTATTACACCCTAACAACATTTCATATACAAAAAAAAATCTGATTTAAGACAACCAAGGCAGCCATTTTGCTTGGTCACAGATGTGTTGATGTAAACAAAAATAAGGCATTGTAACACATCTCTCCATTTTGAGACCTCATCTCCTCCTAAAGTTTCACGCTAAATTTCTCAGACAGTTATGTAATAGTAACTTTCCTTTTAAAAGTGCTGGGCGATGGTTTACTGTGCCAGCCCAGCCCTGCCAGCCCAGTAAATTAGAGGGCAAAGAATTCCTCTTCTCTCCAAACTCTTAACAGCGTACTTCCACCGGAAGAACAACCACAGCACAGCGCGCCTTTTCTCCTTCATCCATTCGCTTCCTTTCATTTCACTATAAAGCGGTCACTACAAGATCAACAACAAACCAAAACGAGTGTTTAGGACCGTACGCAGAACACGAAGGCTGGCTCAAATCATTGCGCTCTGTAAACTCTGACTCAAATACATCCATTATTATCCAGAAATGCACAGTAAACTAGCATACTGACTTGGATTAAATGCAACTCAAACTGTCAATGCCATATCCCCCTATGAAAATACCAATGATGCTTTGCAAAAAATACTCTTTCTTCATTGCAAACCAGATGAACCAGTGACCTGTCTGGAGCGGCTAAGAGTAAAATCACTGGTCAGATCCTGAGGGACGAGCAGCCATAATGATTTCCCCTCTAATTTAAGTAATTGATGTAATTATGGACTTAAACAACTACATTTTCACAAGGTCGGTTACAGTTCAGTACTGGTTGAAAAAAACTTAAGAAAACTAGTAACAACAAAACAAAATTCAAATGAATGCACTTAAAATGCTGCATAATACAAGGACTGGACAGTGAACTTTATGTTATTTTAATTGATTTAAAGGATATTATTGAAATTTAATTGAAATTCCAGAAATGTATCTAAAAAAACAAAAACAACCTCAAGCTACTATATGGTTCTTGTACAAACTGCCTGAAAATATTCATATGTAATTGACTGTAGTTTGCTCACATTTCTGCATCGACTTGCAACAACTCTGGGTCAAGTCTGCGCATGCAGTCGCCAGCCATCACGTCGCCATTCATAAACCACTCTGCCTTTCCATCATGTTCTTCACACCGGTGGAAAGGTGGAAACTGTCCGTGAACGTCTTTACTTGAAATTGCGATGGTGACTTAACAGCAGGGAGAGTATTTAAAAGCTCAACTAGAAGAAAGGATGCAAGTATATGCAACTTTGATGTAAAGCTTCAATGATTAGAAAGTTCTAGACTGCTGAACAGCCCAAGAATGAAGGAGGGGGGGGATGTATTTTGCACTACTCTGAAATTATCTAGTGAGTGATGAGGAAGAAAAAGGGAGTGACACTGTGAGGTGGGAGCAGACTTATTTTGCTATGTACAAAGTAACAGAACAAAAGCCCTATAGCACAACTTAACTACGACTCAAGATTGTTGAATTAAAAACATACATTTCTTTAGCTGTCCAAAAGCCCTATAGCACAACAAGACTCAAGCTTGTGAATTCATTTCTGTGAAAACATACATGTCTCTGCCCAAATAAAGACATAAATGTGACTTTCAGCTAGAGAGACGTTTTTTTCTGTCTTTGAAATGCTGAAATGATTTCAGGATTTAATGCGTCTTGTGTCTTTTAACAATGTGTGGGTTTTTTATTAACTGAATTATCCTTCTGCCACAGTGCCATCCAAACTCAGACCTCAGTATAGTTATGTTGTTTGTCTCTTTTTTACTGTGGGAAGATAAACAACTGCAAGAATAAACCTGCCTTCACATCAAGATAACAGGCCTTTTTTTTAGAAAGGGAATCTGCAAAATCTCAAGGATGAAGGGCCAATAATGTATGAAAACACTGATTTACAAAATACAAATAATAATAATTAAAACAGTGCAGGGGCAAAATTAAAAGTAACCGTAAGGGTCCCAAATAATAGGGGGGAAATCATTCTTAAGTAACCTAATAGCTTAGAGTTGTAACACATGCTGAACATAATAACACCTTTTCCAGAAGCCACTAAGTGAAACAGAAATCCAATATCTTAAGCTAAATATGCTTAGATATTCCAATCGATTTTGAAAACATTATTTCGTTGTACTGTCCTCCTGGATGGCTTCAAATATGAGATGATGTGCGAGAACGCGCGTGACACTAGGCTACAGGAACGCGCATCAACTCGCTCTCATAAAAACATCAGATATGTGGCCATTAGATGATGAAAGCTAGCGTGGGCTACTCATACGAAAAACGTAAGGAAAAATAAATAATAGGCTAATAATAATAATAAAGCTGCAGGCTCAAAAAAGACATTAACATTTAAACAAACTGCCCAGTCAAAATGACTTTCCGTCAAAATACATTTTAAAGTGATTTAAAGAAGGGCCTATTTTTGGTTTCTGACAGACGAATAAAATTAAAATGATTCAAGTAACGTTGCAAGATGAGTAGACAAAAAGAGAAAAGAAAACGAAAAACACTGCGTTTCTGGAAACAACTGTCATCAAACTCTTCCAACAGTGTTTTTATACTGTCCTGGCGTGTGTTTTTTTTTAATAAAAACTCTACTAGTATTATTCAAATCAATAAAACAGCAAAGCATGTGTATTTGATTACAGACTAGCTAGAGTCCATTTACAGGCGTTACTCACCTTTTTCTTTCTGAAGCAAATCCTTTCTGAAAAGAGTCAATCCCAGATCAGATTCAGAAGTTCCTGGAATACAGGCTCCCAAAAACAGTCAATGGACGAAACTCCACATTTCTTCCTCTGTTGTAAGTTTAGCCTTTTTTAGTTTTCATTAAACCACACGGATGTTACTCGTTCGACTCGCCTGAGCGATAATCGTTTGAAATCAGTGAAAATATTCGGCGGAGACGCGTGCTCGTACAAAAGATCGCGTGAATATGCTTTCCTTAAGTATCATAACGTTTAAGCCTCGCTCATAACACCAACAAACCGATTTTTGACCGTGTTCGCCCGTTTTTCTTCTGAAAATCCCACCCGTGCGGATTTTGTTTTGTTTGCGCTAGTGCGACAAGGAGGTAGAGGGGACAAAACTTTTACCCCAGTCGCTACTTCGGTCGAAAGTCAAAACTAACCAAAACGATCAAATGCGCTTTTACTTGAGTCGCAGTCCTCTGTATAAATCGGTCTAGCTTCGGGAAACTAACTTCACTTTTGAATGTTTGAACTGGTTTGTAGATAGTCCGTATCTTCGTCCTCCCCAAGCACTACAGAGGATACAGCTGCGAGATTCCGCACTCATGGATGGAGGAGTGTGTGTGAGCAGAAAGACCTGACTCCCCCTCCATCACTCCAACACCTCAGGACTACCAAACAGCTCGCCCAGTGCATCCTGGGATTGTAGTTTCTGTCACACTGAGCCCCTCAAAAAAATTGCTTAAAAGTAAAAAAAAACAATAACATTCTACATTTCTTTTGAAATTATATTACATTACATTATAGAGACACAAGACAGTTACAGACTGGTTAAAGTCCCCATGAAATCAAAATGGAAGTTTTTTGGCTTTTAGTATGAATATGTTAGCCATACTGTTGTCTATAACCTAGTGTGCTCCAAAAACAATGACAAAATTTGCATTTAGAAGATATACGCGTTCAAAACTTAGTCTCTCACTTTTGTCAATATGGATCAATGATTTTGATGACATCACTCTGCACTTCAGCTTCTCATCAGATTTTCTGTCCAATCAAACGCTCTCTAGAATCTGAAGCTCCACCCCTATATTATAAATATACTAGCTCCGGTCCAAATACACGATAGCAGCACAGAGCTGATCATATGATCGAGTCGCCGCAGTCCAGAAAACGTATCGAACCCATTTGAATTCTGCACAGAATGCTGTATTTTAAAACGATATGAGGGAGATTAGGAGGAAACTGCGGCTTTACCAACTCGAGCTCAACGGCTCTGGCTGAGCTGTGATATAAACTAAATGCTATTGGCTATTTTTAAAAGGTGGAGGAGCTGATCTCTTCAGTGGGCCTTTAAGGTTTGCAATGTCCATGTTAGGCATCAACTACCCATTGAAATAAATACGATAATATTCTAAATGCTTTAAAGACATTATTAGAAAAATGACTGATAAGTCTCCTTTCTTTGTCCTCCACAGATAAAGCTGTTCCGTTCATTCTTTATGTGTGTATGCATGTGTGACAACAATGTCCACACACCCCTAACACGGTTTGTGTTTGCATAGTGAAGATGACCACAACAAAGTCAAGAGTTTGCAAACGTATTATCTCAACAGCAGGAAAAGGTTCGATCAAGCTTCAGATAACATCTCCTCTTTTATTTCAAACTTCAATTAGTTCAAGAGTATACTTTAGCATGGAAAACATCCGTGGGTCCAGGAAGCATCTGCTTAAGTAGCAGTGCAGCTATGGTTGGGGGTCGATGTGTGGATTGGGGGGTGTATTGTCCTGGCTCCTGATGAGGGAGCCCAACTAATGTTCTCTACCTTATTGGGCTTCGGAGAGAACATGACAGTTTTGTCCCGTGGATTTTTGTGATTGACCTGGCTAGCAGAGATGCATTTGTCAAGCTGTCAAAAGTAAACATTTTAAAAGCTAAAGATAGAAATATTGCAATAAAACAAAGTGTGACATCTACTGTTCTAAGAAACAACAAAACGGTTTCTTCTGAAATTTCAATTTAGACATCGTTTATTCGTTTGCCAGTGTTTTGTTCACAGTTGTAAGGTTTCACCAGAGGGCTTGAGGTGACAATTTTCTCTCTACTAAAACATTTATTGGCCCAATTTGCTCTCCAAATAACAGCAAAGTCCAAGAAAGAGACAGCAGACGCCTGTGTGACACACCATTTATGTTCCAATAGGGCCTCAGGACTGATGTTTTTCTTTTCTTTTGACACAATGTTTTATTGAAACATCAGTTACTTTAACATGATTGTTTTCCTGGTGACAGAGGAATGACTATATAGGCCCATGCCTACTCTACATTAGACCATCAAGTGGTTTAGTCATCCCCAACCCCACTTATGAGACCAGATGCTGGTAAGACCCAAAAGATACATTTCCTGAAATGAAGAAGTGTCCTTCTGAGGTTATTTTCCACAATGGCAAAGCCTAGGAATAAATCTATCTAATTGTCTGCTAGCCCCCCTCTTGTTCTTCAGGCAAGCAAGCAGGCAGCTGAATCTGAAAGGGTCCCATTGACTTACTAAAGGGGGCTTATCACGAAATACAGCAATGAATGGAGGTGCCAATGAGGTGTGAACCAGTCTCAGTGAGACTAATGAGGGATAGACTGCAGGAAAGCAGTGGGGGAGGGCTGAAGACAGACGTAAACAGAGATGGAGAGAGAAATGTGGTCAAAAGCACAACCTCATACGAGAATCACTCATACATAATATTATTTCTTTGGATAACTCGTCCTGCACCATTGGTGGTACATGAAGGACACCTTCAATCATGCATCTTGGTGTGGAAAACTATGTTAGCTCTCTGAATGATCAGATTTTCACCAGATGGATGATACAATGGATGGAAAAGTCTCTTATAGGGAACTTTCACACTTGGTAAAATTTCTTGGCCCGAACCAGAGTTAGATTGGTTTGGTTTCCCCCTCCACCTTTTGGGGTCTCTGTCTTCACAAACGGATAGTGTTGCTTTTCTTTCTTTTGGACTTTTTCTGTTTTTTTGACCTTTTTGTTTTGTTTCCAAAGCATCAATCAACAAATAAAGGGCACTTGCGTCCATCTGCCACAGACAGGCTTTTACAAAGGCTCCATAGATCTTATTTTTCCGTTTAAGTGCTTGATGTACTAAAAACAAACTATAATTGGCCAGTTCCTCTGCATTTAGAACAGAACACTATTTTCACCCGGCATTAAAAAGTTAGTTCACCCAAAAATGTAAATTATCCTATAATTTACTCACCCTCAAGCCATCCTTCAGCCAACCACAATCTGAGTTAGATTTAAAAATATCCTGGCTCTTCCAAGCTTTATAATGGGAGTAAATGGTACTTGTTTTTTGAAGCCCAAAAAAAGTGCATCCATCCATCATAAAAGTAATCCATACGACTCCAGGGGGTTAATAAAGGCCTTCTGAAGTAAAGCGATGTGTTTTTGTACCATAAATATCCAAATTTATAACTTTATAAACTATGATCACTGGCTTCTGGTAATGGCCGTACGTGAGTCGAGTTCCGGCGCAAGAGTGACCTCTGACCCGACGCATGAAGAGTGACCTCTGACCCGACGCATGACGTATTGACAAATGCGGAAGCGCAGTGGATAGAGCAAAACAAATCACCGGTCACGAATTAGAAATCTAAAACGAGAATTTTTAAAGAAAAATATCGGAGGAGCTTGAATTTGTTGCCCAGTCCTATTTGTTTGAACCATGAGAACCAACTCAAGTCGCGTATGGCTGTTATCGGAAGCCAGAGATTATAGTTAGAGTTATAGTACAGTATTAAATTTTACAGGATTTCCGGAGGAAGTTTGTGTCGCATTCTGTAATGGTCCACCCGGAAACAAAGCCGTCATGACGCCAAACCTACTCATGGAAAAAGAAAGCCGTCATGTTTACTTCTGTGACAAAGAGCGCTTATCAGGATCAACTAAACGCTGGATTTTCAAAAGTATGTGAAGTTCGCAGTGCCATTGTTGCAGTAAGCTTGCACAATGTTCTTGAATGAATAATTTATTAGATGGATGCTGGTCTATTATTGTAGGGACTTCAACTTTACATATTCACACCCCTAAACATGATGCGGAACAAAACGAACTGTGATTGGTTGCTTTACATGTTTTCATTGGCCAATGGAAGCTGTGATGGAGTCCAGACCTTCTACCGTCAGTCTGAAGGTCTGGCTATGCTTAAACATTTTGTGATTGGATCACTGAAACCACATATGAAGGTTGTCAGGAACGCATGAGACCATATCGCATGTGCAGTGTAAAAGCACATTTGTCCTGAATGTGTCCCGGACCACAGTGAAACCACAGAGGCAAGCATAATTCATAATTTCTTCAGAAAAATGTAAAACTCTAGTTGTAAAAGAAATCTTACTTATTGGGCAAAAGCAAGTGGTTCAAAACTGTTGTACTTTAACCTTTTTACGCAGCACACAAAGACAGAAGATATATCTGGAAGTCATATTACAATGATCTAATTCTCATATCTGTCATTTATTTATGATGCCCCCATATGTGTCTTTGATGCTCAAAGTGAACTCATAGCAGCTTCATCTTTTGATAAAGCACGTGTGTTCATCATTTGCCTGCTAAATTATGCTGGCATTTCTTCAATAGAATCTGCAAATCATCTTGACTGTCAAAAAGAGATGCTGTGTACTTTGAATGCAAATCCTCTCTCTGAAGTAAACATGCTTTAAAGAACAATGGGATCCCATATTGTTCAGACTTTTTATAGTGTAAATTCTTCTTCTGAACAAAGCTAGTCATTGTTTAGATTTTTTTTTTGTATACATCTTTGAGAACCTTTTAAATGGATTGTTTACAGCTGTTTGACCAAAATCAATTGAGATTATTGATCACCAACACCAGACAATCCATTTAAAAGTAAAAGCTTGTCTGTTCTCACCTCACAGCTTTCCCCTGTGATAATTACTGATGGTTTTTAATCAAAGAGCTTTACAAAGTCAATGAGAGTGTTAAAGGGATAACTCACCCAAAAATCTAAATTAGCCCATGATTTACTCATCCTCAAGCCATCCTAGGTGTATATGACATGTCTTCTTTCAGACGAATAATATAAAAAAATATCCTGGCTCTTCCAAGCTTTATTATGGCAGTGAATGGATGTATATTTTCATTTAAGTCCATCAAAGCGCATCCATCCGTGATAAAAGTGCTGACAATAATCTCAATTGATTTTGGTCAAACAGCTGTAAACAATCCATTTAAAAGGTTCTCAAAGATATATACAAAAAAAATAACCTAAACAATGACTATGTTCAGAAGAAGAATTTACACTATAAAAACTCTGAATAATATGAGGGATCCCATTGTTCTTTCAAGTTAGGCTAAAATATAGGCCTAAATTGAAGAACGAATTGGAGCGACATCATTTCAAACAAAATCAGCCCAAAACAAAGTTAATTTCGGGATTTTGAAACAGCTTGCCCAAAGTAAACTTTCCGAAAAAGTTTGCTCCGGCTGGTAAACACCTTTGAATTTCAATTGGTCCGTGGCAATGATGTAATAGGTAGGTGTGGCTTTGAGGCTCTGCCTTCTTTGTCGTGGAAATCTTCTTCGGTTCATTTTTTTCTG